AGAACATCCCTCCCATCCTCTGCTGACTCATCTTTAGCAGCATTTACTGGAGAACCTTATCAATAGCCTTTTCAACAGCTACTTAAATTAAATGTGTGCCTCTTATCCTCAGTCTTTATTTACCCTCCCAACGACCTCTGGCGATTGCAAACATTTCAGATTGCTGTGCTCTTGGAGGAAGTACGCCCTTCTTCCCAAGAGGTTTACAATAAATGCTAACTAGTTTGTTCATTGGGAGGTAATCTCCACTTCTGTGAAAGCCAGGGTACCCGAAAGTCCCTGTTTGTCCTGGACAGTCCTGTGACGCGCCTGGCAATTGTCATTGGTGCTCCCTTTTACTTCAAAAAAATGTGTCGGTGTGGATGATGGATTTTGTGGTGACCTTATTAAATATTAAAGTCCGTGCAGTGCAGTTGAAAGGTAACGAGAGGAAGCGTCAGAAGACCCCGATCTTCATTCCCGAGGCCACACACTGGCCGTGGGTTTGATAATTATAAGCCCTCACCTCCAAGTGCGGTCTCCAGGCCGGCAGCAGCAGCAGCAGCAGCGGCAGCAGCAGCAGCTGTGTCTGGTCTGAAGTGCAGGCTCTCAGGCCCCACCTCAGAGCTGCTGCACCAGATTCCCATTTTAGCCGGACACCCAGCATTAGAAACAGTATCAATGCATCCACTCCGCTCGATTGTAATAACAAATCCGCAGGAACCGCAGAGAAGTACATTAAAAAGATGTGCTTCCCTGTAGAGTGACTTGCTTTTCTTTTTAGAAGGTGAATGAGTGGAATTTACTACCCAATTAAAGTGCTACAACATCCTGGGCTGTGGGCTGTGAGGAGGGTCCCTGCTTCAGATGCCGTGATTGGAGGAGGGCCGTCTGCACCACTGGGCCGCGTGAGCAGCTGGCACCAGGGAAGCCGGGCCGGCTTCATGTCCAAGTAAGGGGTGTCGTGTGGGCAGCCACAGCATCTAGAGCAGCGGTTCTCAACCTGTGGGTCGCGACCCTTTGGGGGTCGAACGACCCTTTCACAGGGGTCACCTAAGACCATCGGAAAACACATATATAATTACATAGTTTTTGTGATTAATCACTATGCTTTAATTATGTTCAATTTGTAACAATGAAATTGGGGGTCACCACAACATGAGGAACTGTATTAAAGGGTCTTGGCGTTAGGAAGGTTGAGAACCACTGATCTAGAATGTGTTTTACTGAATGCGGTGCATTCTCCTCTGGTCTCTGTGAGTGTTAGAAATGTTTACTCATTACTCTTTGATAACGGCAACTCTTAAAATCCTGTTTCAATGCTTTTCATGGGTGCGTCTCTAGTCCTTCGTACTCTCCGATCAAAAGCAGAAGAGTGGCAGTGAATACTGTGCAGCAGGCAGACTGCTCTCTGAGAGTCTGGCATCTCCTTGAAATTATGTTTTATCTCTAAATTAGAAATAAACTTCATCTCCTACTGAAAAACAAAGAAAGAAATGTACTTGTTTAAACAATCCAGATGCTGGCCTGGGTTAGAAGGTACTTAAGTGGCTTATTTGCGATTATTGTAGAATTGCTCGCTGCACATTTTGACTTGCACGAATGCTTGTCCCTGCTTTGCATTAAACATCCTCACACAGGACTGGTGCAGCCACTATGGAAGACAGTATGGAGTTTCCTCAAAAAAATAAAAATGAAACTCCCATTTGACCCTGTGATCCCACTTCTAGGAATATATCCCAAGAAACCAGAAACACCAATCAGAAAGGATATGTGCACCCATATGTTCATAGCAGCACAATTCACCATAGCTAAGATCTGGAAACAGCCTAAGTGCCCATCAGCAGATGAATGGATTAGAAAACTGTGGTACATCTACACGATGGAATACTATGCTGCTGTAAAAAAGAAGGAACTCTTACCATTTGCAACAGCATGGATGGAACTGGAGAGCATTATGCTAAGTGAAATAAGCCAGTCAATGAAGGAAAAATACCACATGATCTCACTCATTCATGGATAATAAAGACCATTACAAACTTTTGAACAATAATAGATACAGAGGCAGAGCTGCCTCAAACTGATTGTCAAACTGCAGCGGGAAGGCCTGAGAGGGTTGGGGGCAGGAGGGAGGGGGGTAAGAGATCAACCGAAGGACTTGTATGCATGCATATAAGCATAACTAATGGACACAAGACACTGGGGGATAAGGGAGGCCAGGGGATTGTCAAGGGCGGGGGGGGGGGGGGGGGGAAGGACACATATGTAATACACTTTGTAATACTTTTAGCAATAAAAAAAAAAACCAAAAAACAAAACAAAACAAAAAATCCTCACACAAATGAAAATGGGAAGGAAAAAACTTCTCAGTACCTGTTCTTGTCTCCTATTTTATCCATTCCCAGTCCCACACGAAGATCACGTTTACCCACGCAGGCCAATATAGTATTGTATTCCGATTTCTGGCAACAGCAACAATGAAAGAGGCCTTTTTATTGACTTGAGAGGAAGATGGTTCCGGTCGCACTGAAACCTAAGGAGCACGTGCACCGTGCTCTCTGGATGTTTGGGGGGCATGATAGCTACTGCTGTACACGGAAGAGTCCTGTCCCCCCAAGTTCACGTGTTGTAATCCTAACCCCCGAAGCGATGCTATTTGGGAGCCTCATGAAAGAGCGCCTTTGCCCCGTGCGGGGCAGCCCACCCAGTGTGGGAGACACCTGCCTTGTTTTTTTTTTTCTATATTTCTGATCATATTTCTTGCCCTAAAGTCTAACGTCTGATATATTTTTTAAATTTTGTTTTATTGCTTAAAGTATTACAAAGAGTATTACATATGTCTCCTTTTTCCCCCCCTTGACCTTCCCCTGGCCTCTCCTACCCCACACCTGCCTCGTTTTGAGAACTCCAGAGGCACAGAGGGAAGTGTCTCACCACGTGATAGGTGTCGCTAGTCATTCTTTGGACAAAGGACACACTCTGGAGGTGGCCCCTGCTGGCCAGGGGCAGTTTAGACTTCTGCTGGCATTGCTGGGATTGAAAGCAATGACTAACCACTACCTCCAGAGTAGAGCTGGAGTCCCCTCCTCATTGTGGCTGGTAAATTGCTAGTTGGATGGTACCAGGGTGACTCAGTGACCCTGCTGGCCTTTGGGATACCCCAGAGAAGGAGACAACATTTGAAATCACTGGGATTTTATTCCCATTAGTCTCCAAGGTGAGGTGACGGGTGTGCCTCCTCTTCCCGACTTCTTTTTCTTCCCTGCCTCACATCCCATCTGTGTTTTTTAAATACACCCCTGAGCCTGGACAACTTCTCTCTGTTTTCCATTCCTCTCAAGCTGACTCAATGCAAATCTCTCAATGTGCCATTTCTAGGGTCTGCACCTGGAAAAAACCACACGGCCTGAACCTGGTGCCTGGCAAGTCCGTGGAGCAGATGTTATGCCCTCAGAACTACTCAGGCATCTTTTACTTGTCTGTGGCCAGTTCCTTCTCCTGTCCCCTTCAACACACATCCCGTGTACCGGAGCCAGATCATGTTTGGACTTTCCAGTTACAGGGACAAATAATTCCTCTCCTGTCTTGTTTTTGGTGTGTTTATTTAATTTGAATTGGGTTTCTTCCACATGGAATCAAAAGGCTCCTGACAAATAGAGTTAATGACCCCAAGGTCAGAGAAAGTCCTGAGGGGAGAGGAAGAACAGCCTCTTCTGAATGAATAGAACGTTGGGAGTAGCTGGTGATTCGCCTTGGGGTTTGGTCTGTAAATGCCGAGCATAAGTATGGTTGTTGGGAAATACAGGCTGATCTCATAGAGAATATTCTGGAAGACAATTGATGAGAGTAGCTCTTCCTGTCTTTGCTCCACATCCTCCTTAGGCAAACAGAACTGCCTGCAGTTTGAAATGGACAATCAGACACCACTAACAGCTGCAGCCTGAAACTTCGGTTCTTGGCAAAAGGATCCTGACACAAAAGTATTTCTTTGTGGAAAATTATGCATTCATCGGGCTCATTTGAAGCAAAATATGATTTGCATCTTAACTTCCTGTAACAAGTTCCACTTCTGAGGATTTCATAATGTCTGATTTTGTTGCACCAGATTGGTGGGGCACATGCTTTACCAAAAACAGTTTAAATTCAGGCCCAGGTTTTTCTTATTTTAAATAGCAACAGCTGCTAGGCATGGTAATTATTGTATTTTATCAAAATAAAGTCACCAAGTTGCTTTTGAATGTTCCTCGGAGCTGCTCTGCTGGGGGCTGGGGTCCTCGGGGCTGTCTGAAGCACAGCAGTGAGCCTCCGGGGCCGGGGGATGGCTGAGCAATCCAAGGACAGAGGCAGGAAACAGTCCTGATGGAGGCAGACCCAGTAACATACTTCTCCCGAATACTTCCTCTCTGCAGTGCCCAGCAGTTCCAGATTTCTGAAAGATCAGAGGATATGGGAGGGAAGGAACTAAACACCAGGAATCAACTACGTACGGGGCACTGCTAGGGGAACATCATGGGTTACAGTGTGATTGAGTTCCTTTAGGGAGAATTCAGATCATGCCATTCTGCTTAAAATCCTCTTCCAATGGCTTCTTATTCCTGTGGTCTCAACCTTGGCTGCCCATTGGAATCCTCAGAGAGCTTAAAAACAGACAAACAAACAAACAAACAAACCCAACTGCCCGGGTTGCAGCCCAGCCCCATTATATCAGAACTGGTGGGGGTGGGGTCTAGACATCAGTGTTTGTTTAAAGATCCCGGGTGACTCCGATGTGCAGTCCTGGCCACAGCCAGGGCGGCCCTGTCTGATCTCAGACCATCTTCAAACAGCCGCCCTGTCTGAACTCAGGGTAAGTTACTGGTCTTTCAGTTCTTTGGTCTGCTTTCCACCACGGGAAGATCCAGCTTCCCATGTCCCAGAGGAACCTCTGCCATCTGGCCTCTGCCCACCTCGCCAGTCTCTCCGCGACCCCGCCCTTCTCTCCCATGGCCCTTCCGTTCTTTTCTGGCCCTTAAATACATCCTTCCTTCCAGAACCTCTGCACCTGTAGTCTCCTTTGCCTCCTTCTGATAACATATTCTTTCCCCAGGTCCGCCCACATCCAACTTACCATGCAGGCCTGAGGAGAAGGCCTTCTGTGACAAGCCGTCTCTAACCTCGCCTGGTGGCTGCCATCTCATTACTGCATAGTTTCCAGTGTAGTAGGTTCCGCCTGAAGTCATCTTGTTTGTCTACTTCAGAGGTGGGGACCCTTTTTTTCTGCCAAGGGCCATGTGGATATTTCTAACATCATTCGAGGGCCATACAGAATTATCGACTTAAAAATGAACCTGCTATATTTGGTCACACATTTCATCAACTCACCCCAAAGCCTTGGCAGGGTCAGACCAACTGATTTTGCCGGCCTTATCCGGCTCGTGGGCCGGATGTTCCCCAGCCCTGGTCTACTTGCTCTTTGTCTCCCTGGGAGAAGGTAAGGTCTGTGAGATCTGAGACCTCCTCACTATTCTTCAGTGCAGGATCCCAGAGGGCTGGCAGGGAGCAGGTGTTCAGTGAGTATCTGATGAATGACAACCATGAGTGCTTGGTTGGTCATGTGGTAAATATTGGTTCAATGAATGAATGACCTCATTTGATCCTTCAGACAACAGGTGTTGTTAGCACTGTCTTGCAGATGGATAATTCACCAGGGTCAGAGGTTAAGTAACTTTATTAAAGGAGGAGTAGGGTGTTGGGGGAGAAGGGAGAGCAGACATGTTTTATTTAGATTATGGATTTTTGGTCACTCTGCCATTGCTAGAACAGGCAAGTCCTTCACTAATTGGTGAGGACATGTAATTAGGTGTTAATTGTGGGATTCTGAAGGGACTAGTTTAAAACCATCTGTAGCAGCCTTTATGAAATCTGACTTTCTGACCTTCAAGAGGGTGATGGGAGGGCAATCATGATCATTTGGAAACCAGGGGAGAACTTCATTATTTTGGGGTGCCGTGCTCTCAGCATGTCTGCAGGAGCTGGGAGCTGGGGAGTGGAGCAGTTCTCCCCACCTCAGGGACTTCCCTGCTGTTGACTCATAGCAACTGTCATCTGGTCTCTACAGAGATCTGCACCCCACACTGAAACCAGAAACGGCATGAGTCACACAGTGGCAGTCCCAGCGGCCAGCCAGCCAGCGTAGCAGGGCGGAAGGGAATGGGGCTTTGGCGTCCTCGGTACAGCTGGCTTCCTTTGCACAATTGGTCTGGAGCCTTTATCAGTATGGAAACCAAGGGCACCTTGGTGCTCAGCTTTGCATCTGGGTGTAAAAATAACAACAACAATAGGTTGGTATATTCGTCTGCCTGGGCTGCTGTAACAAAATGCCACACACTGGTGGCTTCAACAGAAACATTTCCTCACAGTTCTGAAGGCAGGTGGTCCAAAGTCAAGGTGTGAGCACGTTTGGGTTGTGCATGGCCATTCCTGTGTGTGTCCCCGAATTCCCTGTCCTTATAAGGAGACCAGCGTGTTGGGTCAGGGCCCCCCCTAACAGCCTCTCTCTAACTGAATCACTTCTTTAGAGGCCCTGTCTCCAAATACAGTCACATTCTGGGGTCCTGGGGTTAGGCCTTTAACATTCAAATTTTGGGGGACACATTTCAGCTCATAGCAGGTAACATTTATTGAATGCTTACTGCATGTGAGCCTCATGGCAAGTTATTTTACAAACATCAGCTCACATACTTTCCCCAACTATGCTATAAGACCGGAACCCCAGTTTGAATCTAACCCACAGAAAACCGGAAGGGCAGTGAGTTAGGAACACTCGTAGGGAGCAACAGGGTTGGGCAGCATGAGCTGGCAGAGAAGTGGAGCCTCACTACGGTTGAAGCCTGAGGGTTGAGGACTTCACATCTGAATTGCCTTGAACTTGAAGGGCCAGCATCACAGCAAAGACTGCAGCTTCTCTTCCTGTAGCTGACCTCCGCTCCTGCCCGGCCTACGGCAGGAGGTGACAGCTCTTCTGACTAATAGTGCTGTCCTGCGTGGGGCTCTCTTTGGCCTTGTCTGGGGTCCCAGACAGAAACACAGAGAGGGCTGGCTCATCTCCCTGCCGGAGAAGCAGGGAGTGTGACTCACTGAAGGGCTTTGAGCTGAGCTCTCTCTTGACAGAATTCCTCTCCTCTCTGGGTCCAGATGTCTTCCCTGTCAACCAAGCTCCCCTGGGAGGCACGTCCGTCGCTTCTGGCTTTTTCCCCCTTTCCCTGTGTGTTTGTTTAGCTTCTAAAAAGGGATTTATTGCAGGAGCCTCTGGGCACACATTCAAAAACACCCAAATCACAAGGAGAAAGTTATCCAAACGCACATTGTGCCCATCCATGCAGAGTTGCCTCCACCTGTACTGAGGAGGGCTTTTCCCAAACCTGAAGGTCGGTGTTGTCCTTTGCCAGATCTGAGCAGCGGAGGCCCCAGATCATCTCCTGAGTACTCAGGGAGGTGGGCTCAGAGAAGCAACCTTTGGGGGTTGCATAACAGGATGATCCCCGGGAGGCTAACCCACTCCCACAGCCCTTGGCATTGCTCATGCTGATCCTTCGGCTTCCTGTCAGTCCCTTCCCTGCTGCCAACATTTGACAACTGTTTCTCAGTCTAAACTTGGGAAGTCATCTGTTTTTATGAAGCATTGCCCCGTTCTCAGAATTGACTTCTTTCTCCTCTGCACTGGTAGCGCCATGTACACACCTTTCACGCATGCGCTTAAGAAAGGTTTTGTTCCCCAGTTACTGGGTGCTGGCCTCTAGTTAAGCAATGGCGAGGCAGTGGTGAGCACACGCGAGGTGTGGGCATTCATGCATCTTACTTTCTAGGCTGCAGAGACAGACCAAGAAAACTCTCATCCGAGTATTTACTATTCCCCACCAGGCTCTGAGCTGTATTAGCATCATAGTGGCCATCCTCCTCCCCCTCGTCTTCCTATTCTTGTCAAACCCCTTATTCCTGGCTCCTCAGGTACCACTTACAGCCCACATGGCAGGCACCATGCCTTCCGCACTCTGCGTACCGCCCCCTCCACCCCACACAGCCCACCTAGTACTGTGCCTGCCACATGGTGACACTTGACTCATCTTTGCTGAATTTGGACACCTCTGTATTGTCATATTGACTAATTCTAAGAAAGCCTGGGCAGGAGATATTTATGACAGAACCCCAAGGGGACCCCGATAGGAATAGATTTTTCCTGGGTTCCTTACCTCCTATCTCCCAAACACATTCAAACATACACTCAGGTCTAACTAGAGAGACAGGAGTGACTTCCAGTGCTTATCACAGGAAATGTACGCAGGAACTTGGTGATGAAGGAGAAGACGGTAAGGTGTGGTAGAGTTCAAAGATGGCCACTAATTCCTCTCTCATCAAGAAATGGAGTCTATTGCTTGACCTCTTGAATCTGGGCAGATCTTCTGATGCCGCTGAGTTCCAAGCTTGAGCCTCAAGAGGTTTTCCCATTTGCCTTCTCTGTCTTGGAACCAGTTGCCAACTGAATGTGCCTGCGCTAGACTGTTGGCTGATGTGAGAGACACATGGACTCACCATTGCCCCAGATGACAGCCAGCCAGCTTCCAAAGCAGAGCTCCCTGGTGACTTGGCAGCTGATCTTAGACGCATGAGCGTGCCCAGCCAGGACCAGCAGAAGAATTGCCCAGCTGGTCCCAGTCTAAATTGCTACCTCTTGAATTGTGAGTTACAAATAAACGGTAGTTGTATTAAGCCATTAAATTTTGGGTAGTTTGTTTCACAACAAAAGAGAACTGATGCATGAGGTGACCCAGAGGTTAGCAACAGCAGGAAGTCACTGCCATCCGAGGTGGAGACACAGAGGGAGGAGGCAATGTGACGGGCCCAGTGCAATCAGAGCGCTCAGAAGATGAGGAATAAGGACGCAGGGGTCCCACGGAGGCTTAGAGGCACAGAGGAGCTGGAGGAGAGGCAGTTGATGGAAGCAGAGGCGGGGAGAGGCACCCCGGCTTCTCCCTTCTGTCTGCTATCCAGGCCCCTCCTGGGCTTGCCATGAGCTGAGCCCAGCTGCCATCAGCTGAGACAAGAGCCTGAGATGCAGGCTTCAGGAGTCAGCATTGTGCAGCGCAGGGCAGAGCCAGGCAGGCCTGGGACTGGACCCGAGCGCAGGCAGGAGCAACAGCACACATCCTCCAGGAAAGAAAAAGAAGTGAAATTAAGGATTGAACTTTCAAAACAGCACAGCTGCGTCCCCATATTCATACTTGTGCCCTATTAGGAACTTAACTCAGACAGAAAAGTGAATTCTCGCTGCTGGAAAGCCGTGATTGCAAGTGTCCCAACTTTTGACAAAATAGTCAATCAAACTATTGGCCTATTTGTAAGACGTTGCACCCACACCGGCTTATCAAAAACACAAATCATCAAAACATAGCCAGAATGATGCTATTGTTAGGTCAAAAGCACAGAAGTTATAACACACCAATTTCATTTTAATTCATTCAGCATTACTAGTAATAACTTCTTATAGGCCAACCGAGCACAATGCAGGCTGACACCACAGACGTGCACACACATATACCCACACATAATGTCAATAAAGTACACATGTTGTCATTGAGGTGCAATCAGAGGGGGTGGGGTCATTGTTCAGTTGGGTTTTGAAGAATTAGTAGGAGTTCACCAGGTTGAGGGGTGGGGAGAATAGCTTTTCAGGGGAGTGTGCAAAATTCAGAGATAAGACACAAGATGCCATATTTAAGAAACTATAAGTACTATAGCTTAGTGTGGCCAAAGCACTGTGTATGGAGAAACGTGGAGAGAGATGAGGCCATAGAAGCGGCAGGGGCTAGACCACGGTGGCTTATATGTCACACTGAGGAGCTTGCCACTTACAGCCAATTGGGACACATCAACATTTTGTATTTTATTGGATTTTAAAAATAGGTTTTTAAAAAATTTTTTCAGAGAGGAAGGGAGAGGGAAAGAGAGATAGAAACATCAATGATGAGAGAGAATCATTGATTGGCTGCCTCTTGCATGCCCCCTTCTGGGGATTGAGCTCATAGTGCAGGCATGTGTCCTGATAGGGAATCAAACCATTACCTCCTGGTTCATAGTGGTGTCTCAACCACTGAGACACACTGGCTGAGCAGATTTTTAAAAAATTTTATTGATTTTTAGAGAAAGAAAGGGAGAGAGAGAGAGAGAGAGAGAGAGAGAGAGAGAGAAATCAATGTGAGAGAGAAATATCGAACGTTGCCTCCCGTACTAAGCCCTGACCTGGGTATGTGGCCTGACTGGAAATCGAACTGCCACCTTTTGGGATGACTCTCCAACTAACCGAGCCACACTGCCAGGGCTATATAGGCTTTTAAAGAATTAAAATAATACATGTTTATTTTAAGGAGCTAAAAAATGATATAAAAGGACAAAAATAGGCATGATTTCTGCCCTCTCCTATCTTGGAGGCAGCCAGCGAGAGTAATAGGAGGGTGTCCTGACATACCCTTCTCGTACTCAGGGTTGGCTGGCTTGCTTATTTGCTCTGGCTTCGATTACAAAAGCTGCTATAATATGCTTATCACTCTGCAACTTGCTTCCCCCCTTAGCAGTATATGGACATCCCTTCAGATGAGTTAGATTTACCTGTTTATTTATTCAACCATTCTCCTACTGGTTGGGCATACAAGTTGTCTGTTTTTAGGAATTACAAAAACAGTGTGGCCTGTCTCCTTGGGGATAAGTCTGGGTATATTGGGGCTTTCATTTCAGTAAAATAGATTCCCAAAGGGAAGATATCTGAGTCAAAAAATGTTTGCTTTAAAAAAAATTTTTTTAATGGTGTGTCCAGATTACTTTTCTAATAAATAGGTTGTAGCAATTCCTATGTCTCAACACTGTCAGCCAGAATTGAACATTATCACTCTTTTCTTTGAAAATGTTGGTAAATATAATGGGTGAAAAAAAGACTGCACTGGTTTAATTTGAATTTTCTTGGCTTCTACAGACACCGAGCATCTTAGCATATATTTATTGACAATTTGCATGTTCCCTTGTGTGAATTGCCTCCTCATTTTTCTGTTTAGTTGTCTTGTTGTTATCAATTAGTAAAACTTTGAATATTAGTGATTATTAATCATTACCCACATCTTTGCAAAGGTTCTGCTGGGACATGGAAACTTCCCCCTCTCAGTTCTTCTGGCTGGTGGAATAAATAATGACATAAGGCAGATTAACAGGAGAAATTCAAGTTTTAATATGATTAAAATAGGGAATTCAGATAAGCATGAAAATTTCAGACAGTGAGGCAAAATTTTATCTATAATAATAAAAGCCTAATATGCTAATTAGACCAGATGTCCTTCTGGATGACCTTCCAGATGAAGCCGGGGCTGTGAGGGAAGCCCGGGTTCCGGGTGCCAGAGGGAAGCCAGTGCCAGCAGCCAGGGGAAGGAAGGCCTACTCTTGCACTAATTTCGTGCATTGGGCCTCTAATATATGTATTATGACCACCCCATCAGTACTTCGTTGGGCCACCTTTTGCCTTCAATACTGCGGCGATTCTTCTTGGCATTGACTCCACGAGATGTTGAAAGGTGATGCGAGGAATCTGACACCATGCCTGATGAATAGCACTGTCCAGTTCTGTGAGATTTGATGGTTGTGGAACCAGTTGCCTGATGGCTCTTTTAACTTCGTCCCACAAATGCTCCATTGGATTGAGATCTGGTGATTGTGGGGGCCACCCAAGCAAGGTAAAGTCTCCCTCATGTTCTTGAAACCACTCCTGCACAATACCAGCACCGTGGCATGGCGCATTGTCTTGTTGGAAGAAGCCATCTCCATTGGGATACGCCATCAACATGATAGGATGAACTTGATCAGCAATGATACTTAGGTATGTTGTGCTATTCAGACGTTGTTCCACATGAATTAAAGGGCCCAAATCATGCCAGGAAAACATGCCCCGAACCATAACACTGCCCCCACCAGCTTGAAAGGTTGTACTCATGCATGTGGGGTGCATGCTTTCATGCTGTTTCCGCCAAATTCTCACTCTGCCATCTACATGATGCAACTGGAAACGTGATTCATCGGACCACATGACTTTTTTCCAATGCTGGACTGTCCAATCCTTGTGTTCCTGTGCGAATTGGAGACGTTACATCTTGGTAACTGCAGATAGCAAAGGTGTTTGAACAGGCCTTCGGCTTCCATATCCCATATGATGCAGTGTACGGCTAATTTGCCTACAAACGTCAGGTGGTCATAATAATCTGGCCACTCAGTATATGTGTGTGTGTGTATATGTGTAATTCTGGACAAAGGGGGGGAAGCAGGGGTCTTGGACTTCTAAGGGAAGTCAGGCAATTTACAAGGGGATGTGTTGGGCCATCCTGAGAGGCGGGGCAGAAAGGACTGACTGAGTAGGCCTGGCTGGGTCCTCCCTCTCATCCACACCCTTGGATTAAACCCCTTCTGGAATAGGTTTGCTATCTCAGATTCTCTTAGGCAGTAGGGGAAAGGCCAAAGCTTTTACCTGGGTTGTTTGTTTCTTAAAAATACCCAATGCAAATTAGCAATATCCCAACGAAGCATATTTTGGGGTGGCAACGCTACTCCCCAGAGTTCCCTTTCCTTCCCAGATTACCTTTTTTTAGCTTTTTATTTGTCAATAATTAGAGGCTTGTGAACTTGTAAAAATGGTACAGAGTCCCGTGTAGATTTCACCCAGCTTTTCCCAAGGAAGCATCTAGCATAACTGTAGCACAACCAAAACCTCATTTTTCTTTGGATGTAGTTTCTGGCATTATTTGGATTTCAATTAATATATGGTAAATTTAATATCTGGCAAGCTAAGTCCTACCACTCCATACTTTTTCATTATGTTGACTATTCTCAGATTCTAATTTTTTTCATTTAAAGTTTTAAATATTTTTAGCCACTTATTCCCCTGTCTTTCCCCCTAAAGAGCTCTCCTGGAATTCTGATTGCAACTCACTTAAAGTTTCATATTAGTTTGTGAGTGACTGACATTCCCAGATATCAGGTTTTCCTGCCCAGGAATACATTTCCCTCCAGCCACCTGGGTCTCAGGTTATGCCTGTGGTCGGCAAACTGCGGCTCGCGAGCCACATGCGGCTCTTTGGCCCCTTAAGTGTGGCTCTTCCTAAGCTTTAGGAGTACCCTAATTAAGTTAATAACAATGTACCTACCTATATAGTTTAAGTTTAAAAAATTTGGCTCTCAAAAGAAATTTCAATCGTTGTACTGTTGATATTTGGCTCTGTTGACTGATGAGTTTGCCGACCACTGGGTTATGCCCTTCCATGAGAATTTGGTTCTCTTCATGCAGACCATGTGCCCTCTATGAATCATTTACTCATAGGTGTCTGACAGTTTTTGTCATAATACATGATGTAGTAATTTCCTATTACTGCTACAAGAAATTACCATGGATCCAGTGGTTTAAAACAACACGAATTTATTACAGTTCTGGAGGTCAGAAGTCACCCCACCCACGGCTGAGCTCCTTCTGGAGGCTGCAGGAGAAGTCCCTTCCCTGCCTTTTCCTGCTGTGAGGGGCCTCCTGCGGGCCTTGGCTCCTGGCCCCTTTCTTGAATCATTCCTGCCTCGGCATGTAATCTTCTAGTCCAGTGGTTCTCAACCTTCTAGCCCTTTAAATAACAGTTCCTCATGTTGTGACCCAACCATAAAATTATTTTCATTGCTACTTCATAACTGTAATG